CAGCAGGAAGCAGTTCTGACAAATGAAAGGATTTTTGATTGAATTCATGAGCTAAAGTTTCCTGCCAGTAATGCATTCAACCCTAGGCTACATAAAAGAAAAACCCATATAATTGAAGTTTAATTGCTTAACTTTTAAAGACGCAACCAGAACAGGCAACTGTAGCTTCCACAGGTAAACCTAAGTGATGCTGTAAGCTGCTTTTTAGCTTATTATTTGTTGGTACTGCAGAAAATTATGAGACTTTCCCCTTCATCCTGCTCCTCCTTTTTCAGTCCTTGAGTGCCAGAGTCTGTCCTTTATTGTCTGTATAAGTTAAAATCCTTGTGCATACTTTTTTTTTCTCTCCTTAAGCTGTTTCTTGAGCAGGTGCAGATGGCTCTTGTGAACTGAGCCAACTGAAATGCTGTTTCAGAATGCAGAAACTGAAGTTTTAAAAAATGAAACAACTATGTTTTGTGCTATACCTGTAATTCAACTGGAGAATGTTTTCCCCCTTTTATGATGAAATCTGCCATCTCTGTTTCTCTTAATGAATTTGATTTGTTTATAGCCTTAAAGAAATCTTGTCACTAAAATCCACCCTCACCACTCCTCCAGTATTTTTCAGTCTGATGATTTCACAACCAGAGCCATTGCAAAATAAGGGTACATGGGCATTTTAAAAAAAAAAATCCCTGGGGATTTTTAAGAAGTTTTTTCCTATCTTGTTTCTTCATTGTATAATCAAGTAAGCAGTTTCAGGAATACTGAAAACATTGAGGCTGCTCTACCTTTTCATAAATATAATATGAAATAAATCACTTTCTTCATCAAGTGTTTCCATTTTAAACCAAGCCATAGAAAGTAGGAAGCCCACTTGGTTTGGTGCTTGCATTGTTGAGTCCTCCTGAGAAACAAAGTAAAAAAGTGAATTAACTTCCTTGCAGCACAGAAAGCTCTAGTGGGGATGGGTGTGATGAACCTTAGCTTTCTGCTCTAATGACATTCGCATGGGCTCTAATGCAAAGATAGGAAACAAGTAACCATAACCCAAACCTGTAATTTTGCTAATTTGCTGAACGCTGAACTGAACAAAACCCAAATATTAATGTTGTAACTGAAGCAAAATATGTTCAAAAATAGACCAAATGAACTAATTCAAACCAGAATGATACTTAGATATTTTCTAAAATGATTGAACAGAGCAAAACTAGAATTTCAAAACCTTCCACCAGTCTAACCTAAAACAAACTGAGGGCCCATTGGTTTGCATCTTTTATGAGATCCCAGCAGGAAGTGGACATTCCGCTCCTCTTTTGACCTCCACCATCACGACTGTCCCAGGGACACTGACTCTGGCGACAGATGTTTACAGGCAATACCTGTTGTGTCGTCAGAGAAGCCAGTGGGGCAGGGTTTCTTACCCGTGGCACTATTTTCATTTTGGACTAAGTCCTTGTTTTGTGGGGCTATTCTGTGCATTGTAAGATGTTTACCAGCATCTCTGGCCTCTACCAACCAGGTGCCAGTAGACCCCTCCCTCCAGTTGCAACAATCAAAAGTATCTCCAAACATTGCCAAGTGTCTCCTGGGGGGCCAAATCACCCCCTGTTGAGAACCACTGCCTTAGGGGAATACTCATCAGCCTCCCACATTGTTTGAAAAGGGTTTTCTAGTAGATGTTGGAAAGAGAAGCTGTGCACTTACCTTCCCAGAAGGACCTCCTAGTAGGAAATAAAAGCCAGTCTTGAAGTCCTCGTTTCAGAGTTGGTTTCTCTGCCAACGCAGGAAATCTTTGATGCTGAAAAGACCATGTATGGTACTACTGTGTGGCAGAACTAGGGAAAATACCGTAAGTTGTTGAAGACACTTATAAATATATACCGTAATAAAAACTTTACCTCACAACCACCAATGGTGTTGGTGATCAAAAAATAATTGCAGAATCTTCTGACCACACTTCAATTGCTGTTTATCTTCATATTCTGGGGAAAAAAAGTGGAAGAAATTGTTCAACCTATTAGCCTAGCAGTGTTTCTAGTTCACTGTGTAGGAAGGCGCTATTTGATCCAGGCTGCCTACATATCCTACAGGGAATTATTTTATATTTGAGTGTTATTTCAGAAGAATTAGACATCTTAATTATAACTTTTTTAAAAGTTTGTGTGTATACAGTATATATCTCGGAAATGAAATTTATAGTTATTCTGCACTTGAGTGAGACTTTTCATTTTTATATGCTATAATAATACCTTTCCATTGGCAGTTTTCATTTAGTAGGAAGACTAATTTGTACATCAGAGAATTATTTGGAACAGTGGGTCTTGCCAAGATTATAATGTAGTAATTGCATTTAAAATTGAGCTGTGCCAGTGCATTGCAAAAATAATAATAAGCCCACTAAATATGTAACACTGACACAGACAGTTCACAAGCTTTCTTAATATGGAAAAAACAAACCAAATTTTCTATTTTTTGTATATGAGGAAAAACCTGGAGAAATAATAATCACAGTATAAAATTGAACAGCTAATTGAGTTTTCAAAATGGTTTATTTTAATGGTGATTTAGCCTTCTAAGGCACAAACCCTTAGCTTTTGTTTAGCTTTTGTCTTTGAATGTAGATTCTAAATCAAAGTGCTGTAATAGCAGCAAAGAAAAAAAGTATTAATTAACATATTTTCACATACTGTGACTGATGATGATGCCTGTGAAGCCTGTAAGATAAATTCCCTTAATCTCAATTATCTCTACAGCCAACTTATTCAGAATCAATTGTTTTCCTACTTTGCCAAAGGGAAAAGTCCAGCTCAGAAATGTTAAGAAGACATGGGCAGGTCACCACAACTGTGTCATAGTGGCTGGGAGAAAGGGGTCAGAGGGTGAAGAATACTGACAAATACTTGAGAACTTACTAGTATACCTACATTATTGACCACCATTCTACTCTGGGACATGACCACCACTGCTGCTGTGTGACATGGGTGCCATTATTCTATGTTCTAATGATACAGTAGATTCCAAATGGAAATTCCAAGTGGACAGTTAGTAAATGGTAGCCCCCGAATTTGAAACCAAGGCTTCTTTCTCCTTTATTTCTTGATTCCCCTGTACTTCAAATTCAAAAACATAAAAGAAACTCGAGATATATCAATTCACACTTAATAATATATAAATTCTGAACTATGAAAAAAGCATTATCACATTCCAGCCTCAGTTTTTAGGAAAACTCAAACCCTGAACATTCTTGATTTTGTCCTAGGAATCTGCCCTTACTCTGAAATGGATGAAAATAGCCATGGGCTTTTTAATCACTCTTTTCTAAGCTTCCTGAGAGAAGTGATGGCATTGACAGGGACAGCCTCCAGTAGGAGTCAACAGTCAACAGCTCTTCACTTCCATCTCTTCTACTGCCATCACTCAGGGAAGGAAAGAAAAGTCACCTCAGTAGGCTGGAGCCTAGAGCCTTTTCTGTCTTCTCGCAAATATCAGATCACTCAAACCTAACACTGCAACAGCCATTTTAGAGAACAGCACAGCATTTACTTTATGGCAGCCAGAAGGATCGAGATCTATCATATCATCATGTCAAAGTGTGGGGAAGTGAGTGTTTATTGGACCAATTCTGACTCTAAAACGTTAGTGTGATTCACATCTTTGGTTGCAGTTGTAGTTGTTTCAACCTGTCTTTTCCCTAGCTGGCAAGCCTGCGCTTAATCTTAGGTCCAATCCTGGTGTCAGAGCTTGCTTATTACTTGGACTTTGGCCAGAATACCTCTTCATTTTCTATTTTCTCCACAGACTTCTGAAACCCAAAGTGGCTGTTTACTTCTTTGGACAATGATCCTTCAACAAATCCCTTTTTAAATCCTCTCTTGCATAGTTCTGTTTCTCCAAGAAGCTTCCATCAACTATATTTCATCAGTGACTCAATAATGTTCTACCCCATTTTGTAAACACATTATTTATCTGACCAGCTCTGTTCATGCCAGACACTTGGATAAATTCACATGCCTCTACATAGCTCTTCTAGTAAATTCTGGCTCATTAAACATTAGCAAACCCACATCTACATATCATATCTATAAAGGGAGTTTTATCTGCAGCAGTAATAGCTACAATGAAACTAAACTTTGGAAAAAAAGTTATTGATCCAGGACCTAAACCTAAATGTCACCATGAGGGAGTTTGCAAAGTGAAAACCATAGCAATCATGGAAATGCTGCAGAAGAGACAGCAAAGTTTGGACTCAGAACGGACGTTTCTTTCAAACTTGTGTTCTTTTTCTCTGGTCTCACAAATTATTTCCAGAGGTTAGCCACTTAAGAAAAAATAAACCTCGTCTCACTTGCAACTAAAGAATGTGTTATTTGACTTGAAACATAACACAAATATTCCTTGGCTCAGTTTTGTTTTGTGTCTGATGAGCTTAATATTGCTTTCCTCCTTTATACAAGCCCTTCACTGATTTCATATGTGAGGTGTCCTAACATGAAATGCTTAAATCAAACTCTGTAATAGTGTAAATAGCAGTTTTATTGTCTCTTCCATATTAATGAAACCCCCAGCTAAACAACTAAAGCTCTGTACTAATTGCTTGTCCTGAGAGCTGGGTATTTCAGGTCTAATTCTCGGTAGAACACCAGCTGGCACAGAGTATGCAAAAGCTCCTTTGGTTACTTTAACCACTTAAGTACTAATTTGGTGGCATGGAAAGCATTAGTCTTTGTCCATAAAATAAAGAATAAAGAATAAGGCAGAATAAAGCGGAATATTGAGCAATTTTTCAAATTTTATCAATGTAGTAGGTCAGCTCAGTTGCTGTTTTTAGTTAAAACAGATGTTTGAGTTGTCAGGATGCTTCCAAACAAAGTGTTTGTTAAATAAACATTAGCTTAGCAGATTCCTTTCACCGCAGACATATTCTAAACACTGTGCAAGGTGTAAACTCTGGAAATCTGTGAGCCTTGAAGAAAGTAGGTGTGCCATAAAAGATTATGCAGTTTTCCAAATGTGTTATATGCACAGTCAGACTCGATACATGAAAATTATATGAGACATATATATATATAAAGGAATGAGTTGTTAGTTTGTAATCATTTTGGCCTATACCTGATCCATTAGTTAAATTTTCTATTCTTGCTGAAAGGGAATTTTATACGTATTCTTCCTTGTGAAAGTGAAGAATACACATATTCTTCCTTGCTTATTTGGCTCTTCTTTTTACATATTTGGACATTCTACCTTGCAAATAATAACCAAAACAGTCCCTTTCATTTGGCCCTGATATTAATGTATATTTATTTAAAATTTCACACTGGGAATTTCAGTTGAACTACTTTATTGCTATTTATGATTAAAAAAAGGTTTGGTCTTCAGTTGCCTATGACACAAGCTATCAAAGCTTTCAAGCAGTGTGAAAGCTGCTATAGGTTGAAAATTAATATTTTTTGGATGTCCACTCTGTGCCTAACAGTTTGTTTAGATATTATGGAAACACAGCTTCATTTATGGGGAGGTGACAATTTAATTGGAGAAAGAAAATCAACTCACGTGAAACAATTATAAAGAAGAAATGAAATGCATTCTGTGGTACAGTCTATTAGAGCCAAGGATAGTAAGGTGTTAATTATGGGATAGGCGGTAAGTCTCAAAGGAGTTAAGGAAGGTAGAGATCAACATGGGCTGAGGTCATCTAGGAAGACTTTCTTTTTTTTTTTTTTTTTTTTTGAGACGGAGTTTCACTCATGTTACCCAGGCTGGAGTGCAATGGCACGATCTCGGCTCACCGCAACCTCCGCCTCCTGGGTTCAGGCAATTCTCCTGCCTCAGCCTCCTGAATAGCTGGGATTACAGGCACGCACCACCATGCCCAGCTAATTTTTTTTGTATTTTTAGTAGAGACGGGGTTTCACCGTGTTGACCAGGATGGTCTCGATCTCTTGACCTCGTGATCCACCCGCCTCGGCCTCCCAAAGTGCTGGGATTACAGGCTTGAGCCACCGCGCCCGGCCCAGGAAGACTTTCAAAACAAACCAACAATTTTTATAAGCCCCTTCTATGTTCAAAACATTGTGAGGGCTGGAGAGAAGTGTGATCACAGAGATGGGACTTAAGCAGGATCTGAGAGGATGAGATGAATACTGACTGGCAAAGAAAAGAAGGTAAATTACTATAAAATACAGAACTCGTGGAGGGGACTGGACAAGGGAGAACCACGGCTACGATAATCAGCTTAACATTGCAGTTCTTCCTTTGAAAGTGCTTAGACTGGTGCAGATATGCCAGCTTAGATTTTTTAATCCATTTTGGCTCATGCTTGGTCTGCAAAATATTAGCATCCAGTTCAGAGGTTTCTCTGTCAGGGAGAGAAAAGCAGACAGTGCTGTTCTTTGGGATTTTGGAAGATGAGCTAGCAGAAATGATAGATGGCACTCACTAGCATCTTTTTCTTGCAAAGAAAAGCACTTATTGAAAACAAAGGTGCCAGCCAAACTATATAATATGTGGTAAAGGCACAGAGCTCAGTAGACCATAGATATTTACCGGGAACACCATAACCAAGCTCTGAATGTTTTCTGAATATGTCACTGGTATTCAGATATCAATGTTGTCAACCCTACAACAAGTTTATATGTTAACATGTATTCTCTTTCCGTTTTGTAAAAACTCTTGAGTGGCTCCATTTGATAGGCTCTCCTTTCCGTTTTAAAATAGAACATTTTAAAGTGAGGATGCGTTCATTTTGCTTTCTAAATTCCATGTTTGCATATGTCTATTCAAAGTTTCCTACTATGGAGACTAAGAACCAATCATTTCTGAGACTCAGAGATACCCCCAAATACCTTTATTTTCCAGGCAGAAAGAATGTGGAAGAAAAATATTTATTTTAAAGATAACAGGCTTTCAGGTTTTAAAATAATAGTTATTACCACTGAGGTCTAGTGCATTTTCTGATCTCTATTTAAAGCTCTGTAAGTGATTTTGTTTTTGAGATAACATAATATCTCAAATCTTTTATTCTGTCAAGTAGCAATTGCAAAAGATCCTTTGCTGTTATGAAGATTTTGGAAGAGAGGAGACAGTTCTTGCTATACTATCATTTCTTTAATGTGGCAGCTTTATGTCATATGTCTAGAGAGAAGTTGTGCAATGCCAGTGGCACCCAAGTTTTTGACAGCTAGCAACCCCATTTCTGTTGAAAAAAGAGAGTTTTGCCTTTGTCATGAATTCAAAGTGCTCCTTCAGTGGGATGACTCCTGTCATTTCCCTCAGGGTCCCAGAGCTGCAGAGGAGGTAGAGTTCTCACTTACTAAAACATGACAGAAAAGAGCGTTCATCTCTGGCACAAGCAATGCAATGTGTCTCTTGGGAAGGGGATGCAGTGGGCAGATGTGCCGTCTTGTCTAAAACAGCTTTTACTGCTATTTATAATTCTTGTTCCAGGTCTAACCCGCAGCTTTCTGGTATGACTATGATACAGTAGCAAGGGATTATACCCAGTATTGAATGCTTGAAATGATGTAAAGTGTTACAGTGTAAACCAGGGTTTTGAGGAAAGATGTCTTTTTGATTGAGTTGGATTCCTTTTAAAAATAAACTCCTTTTAAAAATTGAGAGGTCTCAATCCCCTTAGAACACAGAAATTTAGAGGGAATTAATAAGGAATAGATGATCACCAGGGCCAGTCCCCGCCATCTTATTTTACAAATAAGAAGACAAACCTGAGGAAAAGA